GGATGAAAGGGCAGGGAGAAGGATTTGTGCCTGTTTTAGCAGGTCCTGGTATTCAGTGAAAAAGCTTTATCTCCATCTCAGGGAGATCAGGGAAGAAAAAGGATGCTTTTCAGATGTTTTCTGCCAGCTTAATTGTCTATGCCTGGGAGGCAGCTTACTTAGATCCTCAGCATTTGATACCGGCACCGTTAAATACCCTCAGAATTGTTTCAGCTTTACTGCTGAAAGCCCTCGTTATTATAGGAATCAAACTCGGGACCCTGCAGTAATTGGCTGTGCCAAAACGTGTCACTGCCCCGGCTCCATGATGTGAGCACACCGAGTTCTGGTAAAACAATATTATTTTATTGTACAGGAACAAGACTGTGCTAATTCCTCAAGCTGCAAACCTCACAGACCACAAATTTGTCTATAATTTGCTGGGAGCACATGTTCATAGCAACGGTACATAAAGCGTAACGGAAAACAGTAGTAGAAAGCGCATTAGTCAGTTCAGCGATCGGTATACAAAGCGAGGGGTTTTCCTACAACTTTCTTCCCCTTCCATGGGGCCCTAAAGTCACAGTTCCAGCTCCGGCAAGGCGTTAGAGCTTGTTTTAGGGTTTTGGGTGCTATAACACTATAAAATATGTAGGGTCTGAAAAATGTATCTGCTTTAGTACTGTGTGCATGACGTTTTAAATACAGTTAGTGCTGACACAATGCCCCAAAGTAGATCCAGTCATCTGCCGGGGGGGGGGGGGCGTCTTTTGCTTTAGGATGTGTACTTTACATGGAGAGTGCATCGAGGCAAAGAAAGCAACACAGAGTATAAGTAGAAGAAGCATTGAACAGGATTTGGTTTAAAGCCAGTGAGCTTACTTGGCCTAGAATGTTCTTTTATTATCGTCCCCACAAGTGTAGAGACCCCCGGCCACCAGCAGGTGACACTTTCCCCTTTGTTCACTTTGGTGCTATTTGCCTGTGACAAGATGTCCTGCTGCTTAATGGATATGAAGCCCCAAAACTCCTGTGTATGGTTGTGTGGTTGAATTGTAACGTCTTATGCAATCCAGTCCTCCTCTGTCCCCCCGGGGGTGTGAGTACATGTCCGGGATGAGGGGGCCTTTAAAAAGCTTTTCCCTTCACTGCTCCACCAACAGGCTTGGCTTGTGTGGAGAGGCCATTCAACTGCACTGCTGGGCTCTGCCGGGCTGTGTGTGTGTGTGTGTGTGTGTGTGTGTGTGTGTCTTCCTGTTGCTAGACAAGTATTCCGGCCTAAAGCACTTCGCTGAATTTCTTACCGTAATACATCCGGCCCTCCTGGCATTTGCAATATCTGTGTTGTAGCCTGTGTGTGCTCCGACGCTCTGACAGCATCCTTCATCAGAAACAAGTGCTAACACAAACATGGATTTGAATTGGGTTTTCCCCCTCGTCGCAACTCGCATTAGATCCACGAGATTATTTTCACTTCATTATGCTTTTCCTTCAAAATGAACCTTTATATTTGACTTTTTTAAGGAAAAGGACAACCAGCCTCTTTGAGGAACCATGTAATATACAGATATATAAAGTAACCCAGTACTCGTATTAGTCTGTGCACTTCAAGTAAAACTTTAAAACGTATCGTATTAGTACATCATTCCTTGGCGTGAGCAGTAAAGAAAGGGGGGGTCGGCGTTACTGCATCATGATCCTACACTAACACTCAGTCGCCTGTCCGGTGTCGTGGGTTTCAAATCTCCCGTCTGTGTCACGTGAAATGTGTCTAGCGATGCGCCTGCCTTCCGGCTCCAAACACAGATTGGCGTTTTGGCGGCGAGCCGCTACACCCAGAGATTTCTTTCTGCGTCCCCGTGTCGGTCCGGAGACACGGCCTGCGGCAGGGGGCTGCCGTCCAAAGCGCTGTGGTCAGTTAACGTGAAGGCCTCGGCGAGTCAGTAACTCTCACTGCGTGTCTGGTTTTCGTCCCTGACACACGGAAGCAGCAGATTACTTTGTGCTTGTTTATGAACGCTTGTACCTGTTTCGAGTGAAGCACGAGTCATCTCCTTCCTCCGTACTTTCTTGGATACAGTAGCAGACACTTGCTACCAAACTCCATTAGACATCTGGTTTAATATTCCCCCATTCTTCTCCCCTGGAATTTTCCAAGTTCATTGAGGTTTTTCTGGTCTTATTTGTCTTGTTCGGTGCAGACGGAACCTTTGGGTTCTTCATTTCTGTCCCGTTGGGTCACCAAAGGGTGGAAACCAAAGACCAAAGATTGATCATGTGTTTGTACTCAAATTTCAACCTGAAAATGCTTTCGAAAACAGCTCAAGCATCAAATATGTAATGAAAACTTTGTTTTTATTTATAGAATTGTCCCACCAAATATGACTGAGGAGAGAGAGAGAGAGATTAAAGTGTCCATATTTTTATTAATACCCAACGAACAACGGATTTCAGATGTCTTCTTTGGTTCTTTGGGTCTTGACAGCCACGGTGTCTTGGCTCGTGTAATTGGCTTTCATTTAAGGCCAGGCAGAGTCCCGGCAATGCCAGACCCACCAGGGGGTGTCAACCAGCACAAGCCCCGTCATCATCTTTTCCCCACGAGCAGCACAACTCAATGGGCCCAGAAATGGGCATGGATCTACGGCTCAGGAAACCACCCTTTCTCTGGAAACGGCCTTCGTCCTGTTTTAAACATTACATTGCTGCTCTGTTTGTGCGTTTATGTGTAGGTGTGTTTTTAACGGTGTACGTGTGTTATATATTCTTATATCACATGGCGGGTCACTCGCTACTTGCGCGCATGCACATGCATGTGGGATGCACGTGCACTATGGTTGCGTGCCACCACCCGTGCATGTATGTGAGGTGGGGGCAGCAGTGACCACAAGCTGGTGGGGCACAGTTCTGCTGCTAACCAAAGGAGCAAGTGGTTGTGAGTCAGTCCCGATCGGGCAGACCTGTGGCCGTGGTAGTAGCGCTGCAGCCCCAGTGCCAAGATAGGAAATTAACAGTGGCTTTTGGGTGAAAAACGTCTGTGAGGGTTTAGAAAATGCCCCTGAGGCAAGAATAGGAGGTGCAAAAAATCCCTCTGAAGAAAGAAGAGGAAATGAAATGAAAACCAGCAGCAAATGACATTTGACATGTTTGAGCATGTTACAGCCAAAGTGTCCAATACAGCGCACTTCAACTTGATGCTTTGAGAATCACCAATAACTCAAAAATAAATACAGCTCTTCTTACTAGATGATCCAACCCGAATATTCTAAAGTAAATCAAGATTTGTAGGAGATGATGCAGAGAGAATTGATGCCGAACTGATCTGACAAGCTTCTTTACTGTTTCTCTGAAAGCCTTTGAGGAAATAATAAATCATCATCGGGCTCTCTGAAGTGCAGGAAACAACACATTTTACCTTGAGAGATTCAAATAACTACGTACATTACACAACATACAGTACATCAAAAGACTTATAAAACATTCCTCTCTGCTCTGCGGTTAGACTCGATTCTGCTGTTCAGTTGCTTCCAGATTACTGCTAGTGAAGGGAGAAAACAGGGTCTGTTTTAGACCACGGGGGACCTTTTAGGCCAGCCTCTGAACCCATCAGGAGAAAGAAAAGGATTGGTATGGCATAGTTTTGGTCATCGACCTTTGGCTAAATGTGCCCCGCGGTTGCTCCTTTTCATCTCAAATCCATAATAGATCCGAAAATGTGTCAATAATATTTTATTCATTTGTATTATTATATTTTATTTTATTCGCATTTGAGGATTTGCATGTTTATTTTACTCTAAATCCAATCGGTTGTTGCAACAGAGCAGCACATGAAAACAGTTGAATCAGTTTCTTGACTTTAAGTGTTTTGGCCGGTGTTCATGGCAAACAGCTAACGGCTAACAGCTAATGGAACCAAGAGCAGACGCACTGCTGAGTACACCACCGCCACAGCTTGATATGTTTACTTTTCTTTTTGGCAAGTATGACTTATGCGAGGACTTTGAGCTAATGGCCTGGATACGGCGGCGCTTGTTTTTGAGTTTGAATAAAGTCTGTTTTACAATTGCTTTCCAGCCCATTAGTGTCTATATGTGGGGTTTGCCAATTGTAGGTTGTATCCATTAATCACGCCATGCTGCTGTGATCATTTGAGACACTCCTGGCGGAGATATGCCCTCCTCTAAGTGCACGTTTGTAGTCTCACATGTACTGGTAACTGGAGAAACAGCATGTTTCTTTTTGATAGTCATCAACAATTATTTTCTCAATTTGTAATCCCTCAGTCAAAAATGATCGAGTCGAAGCACAGAAACAACGTCACATTTAAATGATGTTGAGCATGACACACATGAAGCACATGTCCAGAGGCTCCTTCTTCCAGCCTGTCAGTGAGCAGTGCGAGGCAGCCAGACCTGCAGACCCCGGCCGTTCGCCGTGTGGGCAGCAGAACAAGGTGCTCCTGGAGAGGAATTCAGCACTTTGGACAGCACCTAGGCCAGCTCCCCCCACGCTGGAATCCCAACGCTGCACTCTCGCAGGCTGGGCCCGAGGACTTAGCGGTCAGACGAGTGGCCGCGTTTCTCCCAAGGTGCAGGAGGGAAGCTGCTCAGGAGGGGGGGGACGACATATTTGTAGCCAATCAAATTCAATTCAATTCATTTTATTTTGTGTAGCCCAAAATCGCAAATTACAAATTAGCCTCAGAGGGCTTTACAGTCTGTACACATGCAACATCGTCTGTCCCGAAACCCTCACATCGGCACAGGAAACACTCCTGTTTGAAATTGCTCCGCTGTGTATCCGTCAAACGCTTGCTTGCCTGAAGGTGACCATGGTCATCACAAGAGCATTAGCAGTGTCCTAGACGCACGCGAACAATTTCGCCGTCTTAAGCTAATACATGAAAGATAATTCAGTGTACAGTAGAGACAGATGAAGAACAGTAGCTTAATGTTGGCGGTTATCTACATGCCATCAAATCCCAGCATTTCTTAAACAATGACCCATCTTCCCTCTTTCAGGCAGCCGGGAAGCAGCGTTCACCTACGCCATCACAGCGGCGGGGGTGGCCCACGCCATCACAGCGGCGTGCAGCCAGGGCAACCTGAGCCAGTGCGGCTGTGACCGGGAAAAGCAGGGGTTTTACAACCAGGAGGAAGGCTGGAAGTGGGGAGGCTGCTCGGCGGACATCAAGTACGGGATCGAGTTCTCTCGCCGCTTCGTGGACGCCCGGGAGATTAAAAAGACTCCCCGACGCCTGATGAACTTGCATAACAACGCGGCAGGGAGAAAGGTAAACACTCAACACTTGACAAACTTGATGCACACATGCGTGTGTTAATGGGTTCCTTTGCAGACAAGCAAACAGTCTCAGATAAAGTCACACCGGGACGCGACAAAGGACTGTGACCGACCGAGCTGCTGATTGACTGATCACCCAGTCAGCTCGCTTTGCTTCAGACAATTATTGACATATCTTTCAATTCCAAGAGGGCTCCTTTTATTCAGCGTGAACTTCATCACGGACTTGTTTGTCTGCTATTAGTCATCTCAGAACAGTCGCTGAGCCAGAGAGAGAAAGAGTGCGAGAGGTAAATAAAAGAGAAAAGATGATGTTGCGTTGACGAATGGATCTAATCAATAACTTGGGGACAATGGCGTCTGTCTAGGGGTTGCCAGTTATAGGGCTGCCATTATCTCTAGACCTCCGTCGCTGCCATTTGACCCGCGTACATTCAGGGAGTTAAAGCCGGCCATGGCAGCGTCCGCGCAGCACCACTGCTGTTCTCGCTTTGAGGCCCAGAAAACTTGCGTTCTAGGAGGATGTGTAACAGTCGGATTACCTCTTACCTCTGAGACAGTAAGAAGCCGAAATCTTCCTTAGATCGGTACGTAGTTATTAATTAAGCTCTGAGCCTCTGAAACTTCCGTGTTGCTCATAATCCATGCACGTGATTGATCAATGTATTTATTTTATTTAATGGTTAGTTATTAGGTAGCTTTCCATTATTACTTACAGTGTTTTTTTCATGCTGTTGGCAGTTACCAAACAGTACGCTACAATACGCTTGAAATTAAATTAATTAAATTACCTTTAACACTAATTTCTCTCAGTCAAATGAGCGGATTAAAATGATCCCAATTGTGTTCCTCCAATGGAACCCAGCTGAGATTTTATTTTCTAACCATTGATGAGAAGCATCGTTCAAACAGTGAGCTATAATTACGATACCGTATATATACCGAATACTGAAAGAGTGCACCCAGTGAATCAACAGATCTCCCATCTGGGTTATGTGTTTGACAAGTGATCTTTAGATGGGAATCTGGTCATATTGGACTAATTAATAACAGATCAGAGGCTTTGATGGACACAGTTTAGGTAAATGTTTCCATGCATCTGTCAGACTCCTTCCACCAGGCATTCCTTGTGGTTTTGTGCCTTACATTTTTGGAAATCCTCATTTTGAATAAACACGCAAGACGAGACTGACAGCTGACCCCGGCTTTTTTGAAGTCGGCAGAGTTTTTTCAATCAAATGTCCTCAAATCTGGAAACAGTGACCGCACGAGTCTGTGGACACGGCAGGCAGAGATATTGAACAACTCTTGTGTACATTTTGTAAGTGTCTGATAGAAATGATGACTTGTGCTTCTGGCGAGGCGAGGTGCCAGGAAAAAAGCTGCACTGGAAAAATGCCCTGCCAACCAAAGTTACATCTCATACAACAAAGACGTGCTCCAATCGAGCAAATCGGGAGATCCCAATTTGGTTAAAGAAGTCCTGTCAGGATCATTGCAGATGTGTTAATGTGACCCATCTGAACTCTTTTTCCTCCTTTTAGAACGGTTCAGCAGAAAACGAAGACGGCACGGTTTTTATTGTGAGGTTTTTTAGTTTCTCAGTCCCACGGGGCAAAGGGTTGACGACAGCTCACAATATGTCCCATGTGCCCCAGGCTTAGGCCTCCAGGGGAAGATTTCCTGCCCTGTGCACCATATGTTGGCCGTAAACTAAAGAGAAATTAAGTTCAAGACTGAGAAAGGGAATAACCTAAAAAAATTGAAATAATTGCATTTAAAATGACTCTTTGACGAAAAGCATCTGAATAAATTACTGCGATCCACTTTAATGTATGTGGCAACATTTTGCTTTGTTCTATTTGTCAAATTATTTAAGCAGTCAAATAAAGCTCAAGTATTGACCTGCCATAAACAATTACTTATTATATACTTATTTAGTCTTTGTTTTGTGCTGCTTTGGCAACGCAAGTAATGACACAATAATGTAGATTTAACCCAGATGATTGATAGTTGTATGTGTAATTCAAATGAAAAGTCATTGATGTGGTTCGACAAAGGTAGACACAATTACAGGATGGAACATTACCAGTAAGTGTAATTTCCCCTCCCTGGGGCCACGCGACTGGATGCATATCATCCACCACTGAAAATTCTGATTTGTCTAATTCAAATTCAAAGTCCTCCAGTATCCCCTGAATACAAAGGGCTCATTGCAAGATTACAAAACACCCCCATTCTTAGTTGAAGATGAATTGAATTCAAAGAATAACGCACGCTGGCACTTTAAGAACCCCACGTTTGGTCACTGAGACAATTTATCTATCATTGTTTGTGAAATGCGGAGAGAAAGAATAAAGAACTTTCCCACTTTCTGAAACCAACGAAAGGGGTAATGTTGCTTGGCGCATTTTACTTCCTCACAAAATTTGCCCCAAATTTATCGTCCAAACCTGAAAAAAGAAAACTAATGATCTATTCGTACATAACTTGCTGCAGCTGTGCAACTGTTTGGTTTTGTCATTTACTCTCCAGGTACTAGAAGACAGAATGAAGCAGGAGTGCAAGTGCCACGGCGTCTCAGGCTCCTGCACCACCAAGACCTGTTGGACGACCCTCCCCAAGTTCCGAGAGATTGGCTACGTACTCAAGGACAAGTACAACGAAGCCGTGCACGTGGAGGTGGTCCGGGCCAGCCGCCTGCGCCAGCCCACCCACCTCAAGGTGAAGCAGACTCAGGGCTACCGCAAGCCCATGGAGGCGGACCTCGTCTACATCGAGAGGTCGCCCAACTACTGCGAGGAGGACACAGCCACGGGGAGCGTGGGCACCCAGGGGCGCCTGTGCAACCGCACCTCGCCGCATACGGACGGCTGCGACCTGATGTGCTGCGGGCGAGGCTACAACACACACCAGTACACCAAAGTGTGGCAGTGCAATTGTAAGTTCCAATGGTGCTGCTTCGTCAAGTGCAACACGTGCAGCGAGAGGACGGAGGTGTTTACCTGCAAATAAGGAACTCCTGGCAGAAAGTGAGGCTCCAAAGACTATTTGAATGAAGAAGACTCGAGCAAGCGAGATGGAAGTGTGACACAGACCAGTGAGACATTTTGAAATGAAAGGAATGGAACTTTACGCTATCAGCTCTTCGGGGCATTGTTTTGCACAGCAGAATCTAATCGAATTTCTTTTCTGAAAGTAAATGCTAAATATCAGTAGGTAATTCCCCAGAGCTCCACTGTCACATAGCTCACTTGTCCCATGTGCTGCTGTACCTGAGAGTGACGGTGGAATTGCAGACGATGAACGACACCATTGTTGGGAACTGTGCACTCTAGGATTTGCAATCCTTCAATTCAACAGAGACTCGTGCACGGAGAGGAAACACAGCGACCTGGGAGTCGATCGAAATGACAGCAGCTGATGGGGGGTTAACTGGGAGACATTTGTCCAGTCGTTGAAAAAGGTTCACTCTATTTTTCGCTAAAGGGGAGCAAAAGTGAATCTTGACATGAGCGCCCCCCCCCTCACCCCCTCACCCCTCACCCATCACCCCAAATTGGCTGGGGCTTAAGTTGGAGGTTTGTAGAAATGAAGAACATTTTGTGAGTACGGTGCGTTGAGTGGAGAACTCTTTTTAAACCCTCTGCTGCCAACTGGAATATGGTGGAGTATGTTAGTTTTCCAGTCACACTGGAACTGTCTGTTCTGAACACTGAAAATAAATTGTTTATTTATGTTATAGTATCTTAAAACGAAGCACTAACGGGTATAGATGTCTTTTTTTGTCCTAAGTGTAAAGAAAAAATGCTTTTTAGAAACTGTGTGTCTATTAGAAAGTTACCCCAAGACCTAAAACGACCTCTTCTTTTCTTTAAAGAAAGAAAAAAAGGGATTAGTGTTGATGTGTTGACACATTTACGTTCAAACGTCTTGGTTCTATTTTACTGTCCAATTGTTTGTTTGTAGTCCTTTTACCCGAAGCAGCAACATCCATTGGGATGCTTTAGCTATTTCATACAATCAACGGTAGCAAGAAAATTCATTAAACTGCAGAGATCCTTCCTCAACTCATGAAACATAAGCTCACTTGTTGCTGGATGTGTTGTGCTGCACTGATATTTGCCATTCATAAATAAACTCCTATTTGACTCAGTTTGGCAGTTCACTGCTGAAATATAGTTGACTAATTTATAGCGATAAATAGATGACATTGTCCTCATTTGAGATAATGTTGTTTTCTTTTGGGACGTGATCTTTGTTGATTATTAAAGCATCTTGTTCACCCAAAACTATTGCTCAGTTTGAAAACACAGTGACATCGGACAGACCCACATTATCTAAAGTACTTTGCTTGTCAGACCATGAGCACACACAAAATGCAGGTTAATATCAGCGCCCAGATGCAGCCGATACGGTCGGTTTCTCCTTTTAATCAATCTCAGAATCCCCCGTTCACTGTTTTTAAATTGGAAAGTGCAAAGTTATCCTAGGTGATGAGTTGGGTGCTGTAACGGTTTCCTGTGGAGCAGCAGTACTTCAGCGCTCTGCCTCGGCTGGTTGCTGTGACAACAAGGCTGCAGAGAGACGGAGCGCCCCGCTGTTGTCCAGGAAAATGTTACAGAATTCCCCACAAAATATTTTGATTATTTTTTTTATTAAACTAAGCTAAACTAATTACAGCAAGGCTCTAAAGATCTGAAATTGACGCACTTGATAGTGGTATAGATGGTGAATAAGTTGATATCCGTCTATTCGGCTATAATCCTTATTGGCATGTTTTTTAAAATTTTGGACTTTAGAGGCCAGTTTATCTTTTGGTTTACATATTAATTGATGCTTTTAGAATGTATTATGACTTTTGCACAGTGATAAAAAACAACCGTTTAAGAGATTAAGAGACTGATGTTGCCTAGCCCTGCACTTTGCTCGATTGGCATTTTGTGTGTGCATCAGTCTTTAAATTATTTTATTTCAGTAGAGAGCCAACTCAGATGGATCAAAAATATTTGTCATATAAAAAGATTTGATTTTTTTAACGATCTTGATTGAAGTAAGTTATTAATTTAAGCTTTCTAGCATATAGCCTCATTCTGACATTCATATTATTACATATACCTTCAAATATTAACTCAAATTGGAGGCTTTTGAAATAATAATTATGTTTCCTTTGTCAAGGATGCAAATGTGTCCTCACTTTATGTAACTGATCGTTCTTTAATTTATGAAGAAGTATATGAGTTGTACCGTGAAACACAGCAGAAGGTTTATCCATGAACCCTGAGTGAGGAATCCACATTCTTCATTTTATTGTTTTGTGCATGTTGTTACAAGAATGTTCCTGCTCAATGTTCGGTTGCCCATATTGACTGTTCCAACAAATATCCATCGCTATTATTTTCATGAAATTCTCCCCCTCTGAAGAAAAACACACACATCAAATATGGTCATTGTGTGTGTCCAGGTCTGTAGCCAAACCGTATGTAGAAGTCTGTTATTCAAACCTTCCAACCACGCATTATAATAACTGGCAAATGCCTTAGAAGAGCATAAATCATAAAAAAAATAAATCAAAAATAAATAAATAAAGCTGTGTGTTGACGTTATTTTATACACAGCGCATTTTCATAATGTGCTGTGGTCTTCTGTCCTGATTGTGGCACGCACGGAACAGGAGTTTATCAATTATCTCTCCACGCATGGCAGCGAGCATCCTCTCCATGTCAGTGTCAAAGCAGGATATGTGATCAGAAACACACAAGGAGGGGAAAAAAACACATTATGGAAAACTGTAATTTATAAAAAAAACAATGCCCCCAGCTCTGCACAAAATAAATACACAGTAACCAGGCAAAATGTGATCATTCATCAAGTTGGAATGGCTTTCTTTTTTATATATATATATATATATATATATATATATATAAAAAGCGCACATGTTGTTTTCTTCACGGGTAATTGGGGCCGCCTGACTTGGGGGGTCACGCCCACCTGCGACACCAGCAGTAACCCTTTACCTCCACTTAGCATGTTTACTCCTTTGTGGCTGCAGCCTAAAAAGCTCAACACATTTTTTAAAGTTGAGTCAACAAATATCTTTGAAAAAAGTTAATAATTGTCCTTTATTGACGATGTGTTAAATATCTCCCTTCTTTTGAAAGATCCAAAAAGAATTTAATCAATTGTACAACAGCAGTTACATGCAACCTGTCACCTTTCTTAGATCTGTGCAGAGTTCTTCAGAATGAAGGTACAGTGGACCTGGTGCAGACCTTCCTATCATCTTCTGATGCTCATTGCAGCTTATTGAGCTGTACAGATCACACAGCGGAACACGTGAGGATCCTTCTTGTCACGGTGTGGTTCACTTCCTGTTGTATTTTGTAGTGTTCTGCCACTCGTGTCCCCGGGTAACTTCACTTCCTGCCTTGTCCCGTCGTCCCCTGTGATTGTCTAATAGTTTCCACCTGTGTCCAATCACCTGCACCTCCCTTGTGTATTTAAGCCGTGTGTCTCCTGTGTCACTGGTCGCGTCATTCTGTCACAGGTGCGGGTGGAAGGCAGGACTCAAACGCAGACTTTGCGGGAAACAAAAAGGACTTTAATAGTCAAAAGCCAAAAACACAGGAACCGGGAGGAAAAACAGCAGGCGGGAAACTACAGACATCCACAACAAGAGACAAGAACATGCGTGACGAAAGACAATGACGCGACCAGTGACACAGGAGACACACGGCTTAAATACACAAGGGAGGTGCAGGTGATTGGACACAGATGGAAACTATTAGACGATCACAGGGGACGACGGGACAAGGCAGGAAGTGAAGTTACCCGGGGACACGAGTGGCAGAAAACTACAAAATACAACAGGAAGTGAACCACACCGTGACACTTCTAGACAACTGCGATGAACAGGTAATCAACAAGTAGTTTGGGGATGTGGTATAGCAGGGTTCTAAATTACATTTGAGCTCGGACCAAAATCGTGGGGACCGACTACAGACATTTGCACGACTATGAAGTCTGAAACAAGACATCGATTATAAAATGGACTGAATGTGCTGTTATAGAGACACTAATAATTATCGTGGGTAGGTTTGGATATTTGCTGACAAATATGATGTGGTTGTATCTTTTCTTTTCTTTTTTAAGAAGTACCAAAATACAAATTGGTCTGTCACCATTTGGTGTTCTACCCCTTTACTACTGTGGTCAGCACACATTTTTTATTTTATGTCCGATTGTTACTTTTCAGACAACTGATGTGCTTACCCACAGAAAGTCTACAGTCTACGAGGTGTACACTTCTTTGTGAGGAGCCTGAAGAACTGTCTGGTGAGACTAATGTGTCAACGTTTTAGTTTTTAAAATTTGCATAAAACTGGTATTGTTAACAGAATGGGAACTTTATAAAGGGCGGGATCTTTGATTATACTTTTCTGTAGAATTCAGACCCGGAGGAGACTTGTGTCCAGGGAGTCCAACTTGGAATAGTCACAGTGGTTGAAGGTGACGTTGGAACGGTCCGATCAAGTCCAACAACAACAAGCATCGCCCTGGTTATTGAGCAATGGATTGTCCTGCATGATGCATGCGACCTCTCAGCAGCATTCTCTCATCTGTGCTCTGTGTGTTTTTACTAAATGCCACTGATGTGTTGACCACATCTGGTGAAAAGCATTTCTAAAGACCAGTGTACAGTTGTCTTGTTACAGACTATACGATAGGTGCTTTTGTTTCTGTTCATTCATAATAAAGGCAAAAAAGCCTCATACTGTTTTTGGTTGATTTATTTTTTCTGGGTCAGTTCATCTAGGATTTAGACAGAGTGATAAGATGATTAGTTGCGAGAAACTATTCCGGAAATATTTAAACTATCTGGTTGTTAGTTTGTTGATTTGTTGCCAATTTGGTCTTTGAATTCTGAAATTCAATTATGTTGTTTTAGAAGCAGGTGTACTTAACTGGTTCAACTTGTTTAAATGCTGTTCTTTGAGTTTCCAGTCAAAGCAGTGTACACTTCTGCAGTGTGGCAAAGGCTTTTCAGTAGACTTGGCAGTGACATTTCAGAAGTTGAGAAAACTTAAAATCGTTAAGCAACCAGCTGCAAAGCTATTTTGAGTGTACTCAACATGAAATGTTTAAGTACCCGAGTAGATGCGACTATCGAATGAAACATTTTTAAGTCCTGTTAACTCAAGTATGTTAGTAGGTCTGAATAATAACGTAAGTTTGACAAACTCAGGGTAGAACCTCTTATTGCGAGTTGACACAACACATTATCCATTAGTTGAGTAAACTCAAAAAAGCTTTGCAGCTGGTTGCTGAACTATTTTAAGTATTCTCAACTTTTTTTTCTTTAGTTTATATTAGCAGTGTATTCTCACCCATGATACTCAATGAGGATTTAGAGACTACATGACCTGGACAGCTGGCTCAGCACTCCAGGCTCTCTGAGCCCATTGGAGTCACTAAATGGGAAGAGGACCTTCATGCAAATGACTCGGTGTGAATAGGAAGTGGCTCAGCGTGCCTCTTGTTTTTGGACACACAAACAATGTACTTCTTTTGTGCCGGGTCCGTTTTTTTGCGATGGATGGGACGGCTCTGTGAAACGAGGAGGTGCATGTGTGTCCGGAAGCAGCGAGTGAAAAGGGTGGTTATTTAGGAGAGGAGCTAATTGAGAGCGGTTTGGAGAAAGAGTGGGTGCACTATTTATAAGTAGGAGCAGCTGTTGCACCGAGCAAGCGACTATGTGCACAGCGTTGTAAAAGATATGCTAAAACAGTTTTCATCATTTTCACTGGTTCAGGCCCTCAGATGATTCACTCAGTGGGGGATAATCTGCATCATTCATGAATGACTCTTTGGCACGTGATCGCTGTCCGTCGTTAGCTCAAGTGGCTCGGTGAAAGAGTGCCATGCTATTTCATTTATTTGCCAGACACTCCCACTCGTCTTCCTGTATGTGAAAAGCATTGTAGGCGGCCAGCCGACCAGAAGTAAGATGTGTTTTGTTAGTTGTCTGACGCCCCGGGCACCGGAACCACGTAAGCGCTCTTCTACATCCTAGATTGGGGAAAAAATGAATCCCAACGTTTTGTCATTGAAAATATAAGATAGAGAAACAGAGTCTGCTGTGTGGGCCTTCTTCTAAAGTAGCTGTTGTCTGGGTGTCAAGATAATTCATCCATTGGGTTATGTCCTGCGAGCTAATGCGTCGGGTCTAATTCACGCTGGGGTACGACGCCCAACGACGCATATATGCAAATGTGTCTTATGGTCCTGCTGTTCAGACTCCAGGGTCGGTAGTGCTTTGGGGAACCAGGGTAGCCTCAATTGACACAAAGAGGATGTAAAGGGGGCAGTTTTATTTTACAGTGTTTGAGGAGAACAGGAAGAACCCAACTGAACTAAAACCCTTTGGGCCAATAAAGTAGCTCAAAAACAGGTCGACCCTCCATGGTGAGTTCTTCATTTGTCTGATAAAACTAAATGCATTATGGTTGTCCAAATAACTGACTTGACAACTTTCAGTTCAGATTGTTTTGATATTAAGAGTAACATGTTTTATGCTTTCTTCTGATATTCTTTCCCTTTTTGTGAGGTGTCAGAAGCCCCCCCCCCATAACCCTTAACTTAGTGCCAACCTTCTGCCTTCTCTTGTTATTTATAACTTTGGCAAAGTGAGACAGGAACGCCGAGATCAGAACCTTGCTCTCTCTCCGAGATAAGACGATTCGGCAGGCGTTGGGGAAGAGAAGCAAGGGTGGCAGATAACAATAAATGAAGGGATTCAATTAATTATGGAGGAGTCAGAGGTCTTCTGAGCTGATACTTGATATTTGCCAGACACCAAAGAGAAAAGAAAGAGATGTTGTCGACCAGACTCCCCACTTCAATTGCAGACTCCTCCTCAGTTGAGGAAGGGGATGTTGAACGGTCCAATAAATGATGGATTATTCTGGAGCGATCCTTTAAATCGTGTTTGTTATTTCAGGATGTGAAGGCTTTGGTTAAGGTGATACAACATGGAGAGACATGGAAGCACTCCTGTGCTAAATCTCATAGCCCCCTTGGGCAGAAATGCAAGCCATAGCTGGGCCACTAATAATACTAATTTTAAATGTTAGAGAATTCTCAACAAAGCAGAAGAGCACACATTACAGTTTAACGCAGCCCACAACACAGCCTGCAGCAATTAAGAACGTATAGTCTTTCTCTTTTTTACATTTTTTTTATGTGATTGCTTGGTGTTTTTCGGTGTTCCTTTAACTTTGTTTTGACTGCTTGTCTTAGCAAAAGACCATCATTTGGAGGTTTCTCATCATCTGCTTGATATTAGTGGTGAGGAACACATGGCCATTCAAAGGCAGAGCCCAGTGTGACATCATAGACCACAAGGCACAAGTGGGGATCATCAAGACCCCAGCCTCTGAACGCTACCTGACTACCTCTATCCATCTGCTACTACACTGAATGTTGCTCTTTTCCTTTCGGGGGCCTTTTTTGTCTTTCTTCTCTTTTTGTGCGTTGTCTCTTCTGCACATGTATCTCCCGTTTCAAATAGCATGAACGGCACAGTGAACTGAACTGAAACCGGCTTATAGCAAAGGGTGTGCATGGTAATTAAATGAGAAGAGTTCTAATTGAGGAGCTCGGGTGTGAATTCCTTCACTCCATAAAGACCAACCAACTTCTCCCCTACGCATGGCCTTGACCCAACAGGTTCAAACAGGCATCGTAAATGACTCACAGATATTAGGGTGAATGTTATTCCTGTACATATTCATATATATATATGAGCAGAAGACATTAGCCTGGGGATTAATGATTTGGCGTGTACACCTTTTTATGTTTCCTGGGTGCTTGTAAAATATGAGTGAGGTTAATACTCGGGACTCTACAGCTACAGGAAGCACAGCATCAGCAGTCTGAGATGGCGGGATGGATGGATCAGAGTGTGTGTCCGCTTCGGCCCGCCCGTGTGCGAGACAGATATGTCCCTTCGGGAAGGCGGTTTTCTTGAGAGATTCGGCCGAGGAGTTTCGAGGACGGCCCACACGCGCTTTTGTGCGCTGCTCAGTGTCCAGCGGTCGGCCAGGCCACGGCTTCTCCTTGAGGTTATTTTTCTCCTCACTTTTGTTTTCACGAAATGAGGAAATGAGGTCGGGGTTTCTAAAAGCAGACTCCACCTATAGGGAAAGACTACGAGACCCTTAAGGGCCCTTTTCTCAGCACTGGAGAAAGGAACTCCAATTCTCACAAACATGATCGCAAATCGAGTCTTGGAAATGGATTTTCCATGGCCCGTCGATTTGACTGTACACTGAAGCATTAATTCCAAGGACACAGCATGAATTGTTACAGCTAACTGCTTCGGAATTCATTTTTCTAGCGGATGATTTGTCTTTTCAGCATTTTTATACTTCAGATAACAAACCGAAGTTACCAAAATTGTGAGAATTCACTCAGTCCAAACCATACTGTAAAAACCCAGAAGGAATCCAAACGCTGTACTGAATGATCTGTTCTGATAAAATGTCAACACACGACACAGCTGAGACCGCAGAACTCGACACTCCACAGCTGCCATTTGGAGAACATTGGCATTTTTTATGTATTGGTTTATTTACACAGCACGCAACTGTTGTCAACAAGTTCCAAAAATCGTGAAGTAATTTGTTCACCTCAAGCAACTTCTTCTAATCCCTAAACTCACTGAAACTTAGTTTGCTACTGTTAAACAGAAGAGCAAAAAGAGTCAGTTACGCTTTTTTCGCCAGAGTATCATCCTTCCCCGTCTAGCCTGCGGAAAGAGCAGCGGTGGAGGTGAAGAGGTTCCATGATGTGGGTCATACACGTGGAAAGTTCTGCTGAATCCTTAGCTTTTCCATGTGGATGGAAGGTCACCGGAACAACACACAAACAGCTGCGAGAAACACTGAGCCCTGTTGTTCAGACTAATCACTTTACTACGTCTAATGGCTTTTTCAGCAGCGTCAACCCCAACAAGTCATCTGCACTTTTAAGCGCTCATGGCAGGTAATGATGAGCGAAGTGGTGACAAAGTTTGCTTAGCGCACAAAGTGAATTTGTCCATCTCCCGCTTGGGGAGTTGATGTCTAACTCAGTCTGTCAGCAAAGCGCACCGCATGGAAAGCAACATCAGAGGAACTGGTTGCCCAGCGCTTGTATATTTCTGTCTCCATCTGTGTCACCGGCTGGAAGTGGGCTAGTGTACATGCCTTTGAATATGTAGGCCATTGGACACCAGCTCCATGCGGTTTGGGGGAAGTTAAAGCTCGTTGGGGCTTTAATCCGCCAAACCCTCCTCCCGGTTTTTCCCCTCTTTTTCTTGTCTCTGCGGGTCCTGTTTTCCCCCCACCAGCTCTCTGTCTACCACACCGGCCCGTCAGTACCACAAACTCCAAAAAGACGGTCAGCCCCCCCGTTCCAGGGCCCCCTCCGCTGCCTACATAAAACTGGGCCTTGCCCCGCCACAAGTCCTGACGTCCTAATGGCTGATGGATGCACCGAAGTCACACTGATGATCTAGAGAAGTCCTTTGGTCCATCATTGAGGCTTTGATCAACATACTTAACCCTTTCTTCCAAAGAGCCCCCCTCAGCGGATGAGAATGTGGGGAGATTGAGTTACACACTGCTGGGGAGCGGGAGGGCTGACATCCCTTTGGTAACACATGTCTTTGTTTAAGGCAAAGCTCCGGCACTGACAGTCCTCCTCCAAGCTCCTCTCCTTCTCTTGATACCCCACCA